ATAGAACACTTATAAATATTAAGAAAAGGGACTTCTTTTTTTTTACAAAAAGTATTCAGTATGATTCATCTAAACCAATCAGGGAATCCAGTTACTAGAATGCATCTGGTTTTCATTCAAAATCTGAATATTCCCTCAGCGCCGGCGCTCTGCCCCACGCGTAGGGCACCAAGTCGCCAGGGTGGCACGAACCAATCAGACTTTAAAAATAAAAACATTCATGAGCCCCCGATTCCCACTCAATAACTTTCCACCATGGATCGAATCTGCCACCCCCCACTTGAACACAGACTGTTTTGGATTCATCAGACAATCATGCTGTGGACCGCAAAATAAAATTCTGCTTTTGGCACCCATGTGGCCAGCGCCAGGCCCGATTCCCAGCACAATAATGTTAGTTTTAGCTCTAGCTAGCATTAGTTTGGGCTAGCATTACCAGTGGCTCAGGCTAGCATTAGTTCAGGGTAGCATTAGCATGAGAAACAGCATTAGCTAAGGAGGTAGAGTGGGTGTCCAGTTATCAGAAGGTTGCCGGTTCGATCCCGGCTCCCACCAGAGAATATTACCAATGCTGAAGTGGGTTTGGACACGCTGATGTAGGATGCATGGCGTTTAACCAGCACAAACGAGCATTACTACTTTATATAGGACAGCCGGTCGGAGACGGTACAGGCTTTTTGGTACATTTGACCTTCCCAAGCTGACTATTTTCAACAACAACATGGTAAACATGGCTTTGAATTCTAGAACCCCTTTAAAGGAGCCACTCAGAGTTTCTGTTCAATCTTGTTTCTAACATTTCTGACCTCACACGTTAACAAATACCTCACAAACACCAGAACTCCCCTTTTCTTTTCTTCTCTGTGTTTTGTTCCAATCAGCTGGCAATGGCAAGAACAAGTCACCAAGCCAGCCAGCCGGCGGCACTTCCTAATTAATCTGCCCTCACACCAGCTAACACCACAGGATGGATGCTTTTCTCTTCGCTTTCACATAACTAACAGTTTTGTTCTCACACCAGTCATTTTGTCTTTTTCTCCTCTCTTTATGTTTCTGTTTGATGCTGCTCTGCCTTCCTCCTTCTGCCTGTTTTTATTTTCTCTTCAGTGCATTTTTAGATCAGCCTGCAAAGACGGCCATTCTGAAATATAAATGAAGTTATTTGAAGGCAAACGGCATCTCGTTTAAGTGGTTTCAGTTTCTTTGGCAGAATTATTAAAGCTACTAGTTGGATCGCTCTGGTCCTTGAAGCTCAAACTGTTTTGTTTACACATCTGGCCTCGGGCGAAAAGCAGCATTTATTAGCAGCTGACAACAGAGTAGCTTACCTGACTCTGTTTTAACACATTTACAGTAAAAAGGCCACTCAGGTAACACCCACTGAACTGTCATCCCATCACCCTCCACTAATGTTTTAACCAGAACCAGCTCCTGTCTTCTGCCATTAATATGATAATATTCAGCGCTGTCAGTGATGGAGGCCTCGGCATAATGAGATAATTACAGTGTTGTTTCATTTGGAGAGCGACACGTACGCTCAATCAAAATGGCAGGTCTAATTGCAAGCCCGGGGATTGGCTAATGGCTTCGTTGGAGGAGGGGTAGGAGAACAACAGCTCGTCATGCATCTATTCTTAAAGTTCTTTGTGTGAATATGTATGATGTGTGGAACCAAATGCAAGAAAAACTCTTCAATAAATCCAATAAGATTTTCAAAATGACTTTTGTAATGATCTCATCTGGCAGGCGTGCTTGTGTTTTTATGTTAGAATAGAATACACTTTGTTAATCCCACTGTGGGGCAAAAGTATGGAAATATGAACATTTATTCACCCGTGACTGAAGGAGTGCAAAGATTTGCAGCAAGTGTTTTATTTGTGGACAGAGAAGACAAGAAATGTGAGTTTAGAGGTGCCGATGGCAAGAAGAGGTGGATGGGGGACCAATTTGTTTGTGTTCAAAAGTCTCTGAAATGCATTGGACACACTATCGTGGAAGGATACGTGGCTGTAATGGTGACAGGATACTTCAGAATAGCGCCACGCCCTCTGTTGTCCTGGCGGGAAATTGTTTTGCAACAATCCCCGGCGGACGGAAAAGTCAGAGAGCAAAACGTCTCTGTCAATGCGTGTGTCTCACCATTGTTGAGAGGGGTATAAATTAGACTTTAGGGTCACATCTGACAGACACTACAGACTCCAGAACACCAGTGTAGGAACCCTGCACCGGTTGATGACATCACACTGTAGCAACACTACTCGGACAAACTACATTATGCACCATTTTTAACTAACTACACCCTAAAAATCTGTTTCAGACTCTACCAACAGAATGGCTCTAAAAACAATTCATATGTGAGTGCTTTGAGATATTTATATGATTATCACAGCTGGCTGTTTGTGAAAGTGTTCAATTATTCTGTATATTTCATTTGTTCTTATCCCGTTTACTTGCTATTGGGTCAATAAAGTTAATTGAAATAGCACTAAAAAAAAGGGACCCCAAATTTTATTTTTCCCATGTAAGTAAATGAATTTGAGTAAGTAGATAATTTTGAGATTATTTATTGGACCAAATATCAGTTACAAAGGTAATGATGCCTTTCCATGTTTCATACAAAGAAAATCTACGACTTTTGAAAACACTAATCCAAGCAGATCTGGCTACCAAAGCACATTACAAGCTAACCATAATTTCAGAATTTCTTTGGATCAACCAAAATCGTCTACATCAACTTACAAATGTCTCGCAATCATGTGCTGTGATGTTGTTGGCAGGTGCAGGTCAATGAGAAGATCTAGCTACCAAAGCACATTACGTGCTAACGTAACTGCTGCAATTTGTCCAGACCAACCAACATTTCCAGCATTAACATATTAATGTAATTTTCATCATTTGTTCGGATCAACCAAAATCTTCAGCGCTAGCCTATCAACATCCAACTAGTTATGTGGGGTGACATCATCAGCAGGCGCAGGTCCCTGAGCAGGTCTGGCATTGAACTGAGCTACAAACAGTTGCGGCTAGAATATTCTTTAACTAAATATATTAAATACTATTTTGAAATCATTGCATACTACGAAGTATGTTGGCGTTAAAGTATCTTTCCGGAATTTTCCCCTTTCAGAACTTATCCATCCATCCATTTTCACAGGGTCGCCGGGCAATCAGGCGGAGCAATCAGGCGGGGTACACCCTGGACAGAGAGCCGGTCCATCACAGGGCACCTTTCAGAACTTATGTATGCTTTTTCCGAAATCCGTAAAAGTGATTATCTTATCATGTACTGTGATGTAATGTAAGCATTACATCTTTTTTATTTATTTATTATTTATTTATTTATTTATTTATTGCTAAACACGCCCCCTGCCCTGCAGAGCTCCGTGAAATAGGAAACTGAGCGCCAACCAGAACTAACCAATAGCGTTAGACTACCGCTTACATGCTTCAAATGTAAGGAATACCTCGGCTGATGCAGAGTTGATGATTTTTTCACAGACAAGTAAGTTTCTAAAATATAAATATATGAGAACACATAACATGAGAATAATACTTTAAAGATACTTTAAAGAGCACCTCAACAGGCCTGAACAGTCCTGCGTCGGTTTGGTGGGTGGAACGTCGGAGCGAAACAGAAAAGGTGTCCATTGACTGACATCTGTAATAGTGAGTATGTCACGTTTGTTGTCCAGTTGACAACCATAGATTCTGCCTCACGACAGAGCTCTGTCTATGGGTCGTGGCCTGACCATATATTCACATATATAGGATGGCTTGCCAGACTAATATTGTGCAGCTTTGGAAATAAAAGCAAAAATAAATACAGCGATCTTCTGCTAATATCCTAATAGCACAATTATTTTCACAGATTTAAGCCCATAATAGTCGTTATGTTGCTGTGCCAAACACTCCATGGTTCTAAAACACAAGCATCTGTTCTGGCATTTCACTGCAACACAGAAACTTCCTGAAGTTGTTCCCACATGGCAGCAAATCAGGACCAAGTTTCCTGCCAGCACATCTCTGCAGCTCTCTCTCTCACACACACACACACACACACACACACACACACACACACTTGTGTAGAACGATAGCGACACTTTGAATATCAACACTCAGAAGTTTGAGTGACTCAGCCGTCCGTCCCCAGCGAGATGAACAGGTGATGGGCTGCATTAAACGAGGTGCACCGTCGGAAACTCGCTGTGTCCCACATACCAAATCACAAGGACTGGCGGCGCAGCGTGCACGCAGAGTCGCACACAAACACACACTCAAGCAGATTTTCTAATTAAAGACAGGGTCACAGGAGAGATTTAAGCATGTAGGCTATGTACTTCACTAATGAAGCTCTCCATCTGCTTTCTGTCGGTCGGATTTACTCTCTCCTCCTTGCCGTGTTTTGGTCAATACTCGCCTGCAGGTCACAGCTTTAGTGTGAGAGGCTCAGTGTGTGTTTATCCAAGTGGGATGACGGCCTTCCTGAGGTTTTCAGATGCTGAAGTGGAACGGAAAGTTTGCTTTTTGTTTGTTTATCATCATCTCCCAAGAGCTGAGTAGCAAACGAACATCATTTCAGTGGCGATACCAGACATGATGTTTCTTTGAAAGATGCTGTCCCTGTTTTTTGACACTTTCATATATAGTTAGGTGTTTAAATGTTTCGGTCGAGTGCAGGACAATCATCGATTTATCCAGCTGGAGACTCAAATGAAGGAGCGATCCATCACATCGTTTCCTCCACCTGGGTTTCCTCTGTCAGCAGCAGAAGGTTCGGTTCAGATGCTGATGTCTTCTCAGAGACGCTGCTTTGTGAATATTCTGTCTGCCTTCCCGAGCTGTCAGGAGTTGTCATCGCAAAGCCAAGGAACAGCAGCGGATTTAATAAAAGATTATGCAGAATGTATACCGTTCTCGACCCGCCGAGGGTATTTGGAATTTGGGTCGTGATTCTGGCTCCATTCTCCCCAAACTTAGTGTGTTTTTTTTTATCTGTGCAGAGATCAGCACGCCCAGGGGTTGCAGAAGGAGCACCAGCAGGCTCGAGCCGCTCCAGGTTACGAGGAGCTGGACACAGCGAGACGCCGATTCCTGGAGTATGACCCGCAACGGGTTAGTCTACATGTTTGGGATTTTATTACCAAGCAAGCAAACCACTAAAAACCCAGAAGGATGTCCGTGTTCCTTTAAGAACCAGCCCGTTTTCAGTTCCTGTGTCTACTTTCAGCTCCTTTTTAACATTTTGAGCTGTGCACCACCTATTCTCATCATTTATTTCCCACTGTAACCCAACCTGTCTTTTAGCTCAACACCACCATTTCATCTGTTTCTTGCCTTTTTGCTTTTTGCCTAATCCTCTCTCATTCACCTCTGCTCCGTCTCTCCTCTTTCTTGTTTTGACAAGACTAACAGAGCTTTAAAATCTCAGATGGCTGCCTCACTTAACCAGGCAGCACGGGTAAGTGTCCGTGACCCCTCATCGATCCGGCCCGGGGAATCGTTTGATTTACCTCTGTACACTTGCTAACTCAGCATACTCCAGCTGGAAATCAATAGCCATTTATCACCCTTTTTTAAACACGGATTTTTTTAATCGTGAGCCCAAAGATGCAGAAAATCACACTTTCGTCTGGATCAAAGTCCTCACATCAACTCGAGATACATAGGATGTTATCTAATCAGCTGATCCAACCGGCCCCCTGCTGTGCTTACCTCTGCACTTACTGTAGTCGGTGCTTATTGAGCAGCGAAGCCCCGTGAATCGGTCTTCATTAGACACACTGTCTGTTTTTTACGCCTGCTGAGTTTTATCACTCCTTACATAAACCTACGCTGACAAATACGGGCTTTTGTCTAAGTTTGATACCCAAACCTCTGATGCAATTAAAGCGCAGGACGTCTGCACTGCAGCCTCCGATCGAATTGTTCTATTTCACCCAGAAACGGGGAGACTGTCCACGGTGAGAACCCGCTGCGGGTTCCTCCCCTGAGGAGCCTGATAATGAAACACTCCACCTACAATCACACAAACCTGCTCACATGCTGAGAATGAAAACAGTAAAGCATGGAGGAAGGCTACATACTGGGCACACGAAGGGCGGAGAAGAAAATAATACAACGTATCTATCTTTAGCTTATTCACATTTAAATCTGTAAAAAACTAAAAATAAATAAAAACACATTAATTAGACTTTTGTTTTACCACAAGAAACATCAGGCATTCCTTTTTCGTTAAAGAAGAAACATCAGCTCTTTAAACATATTACTGTAATGTTGACCTCAGGGGTGCTACTAGGTGGGGGGCTGCAGAGGCAATGCACACCTCTGTAAGACAGTCTTATGTACATAATATTATTTTTGCACATAAACAAAGAAGTGGACACGCTTAACTTATTTTATAATGAAATGTTAGAATAACCAAAGTACAACTCACAGAAGATTGTAAATATAAGTACCGTAACCTCCTGAAATCATGTTATAACTTTTAGATCTACTGCACCGATCCAGAACTCAGAGTGGGCCCCATCTTGTAATCCGGGTTGGAGACTTTCCAGCAGCACCCTCAGTTGATTTTACTTTCCGATCTTCTATAGGAAGCCTAAGTCACGCCCATCTACTTCTGCATCACGGGTCCCCGGAAGAACGAGAAAATGAACGTAAGTCAACGGGGCTAAAAACGCTATTTTATAATTCCGCTTGTTTTGTGCCATGGATTTCACATATGATGTCCGTGGATTTTAAAGACACATTTTGGTACCAAGAATGGGCTTATTTTCGAGCGGGGGAACGATATTTTAGGTTTTGTGTGAAAACAAGTCCAGGACTACAAATGCCCTTCACGAAAGTGATGTCATCGAACCAAACGCAGAGAAAACTGAGGGGAAATGGCTGTAAGTTCAGCTAACTTCCCACGGGAGGAAAGAACTACAATAAATCTGGTCATGTGGTAAGTAGCAGCTACGCTAGGGGAGAAGAGATTATGTGGTGACGTCACATATGCGACGTGCCGATTTCTAGTGTGTAGTCATGCTAATTACGAACAAGCTGAAAAATCTCAAAGTACGTGACTGGCGTGGTTGAAACACCCATCATTACTTTTCATTTAAATTGTAGTACAACATATGTGCGATCCAGGGAGTAAGGCAAAGCGGATTAGAAAATAACGTTTTAACCCCGCTGACTTGCATTCATTTTTTCATTCTTCCGGGGACCCATGAGCCAACCGGGAAGGGAGGACACTTAGGCTCTCTATGGGTGTGTCCGAATCCACAGGCAGGATGCTTAAGGGTCCTCGCCGGTGTCACAAGGCCGGGTCCTTGAAGAAAAATTCTGCCTAAATACCACAGTATAGCGCCACCTTCAGCTTAAAACATAGAATTTGAGTCATTTTGAATGAATTTTAGCCAATGGCTAAAAATTTGACTGTCTCATTGTGGACAGGCTGGCCACACTTTTACTCTGCCTGACCCAGATCAGTAACTGGCTGTCCAGCAACTTTCTTGTCCTCAATGCTAACAAGACAGAGACCCTGATCGCTGCACCCCCGGAACTTCAGCCAAAAATCGAGCAAGAAATTGCCTCTTTTTGCCCATCAGCCAAGGCCAACATTAGAAACCTAGGAGTTATTTTTGATCCAGTTTTAAGTTTAGACTCACACGTCAAAACCATCTCCCGCTCTTGTTTCTTCCAACTGAGAAACATTTCAAAAGTCCATAAACTGGTTTCTACTGCAGATCTGGAAAAAAATAATCCATGCCTTTGTGTCATCACGCTTAGACTACTGTAACACTCTTTTTACTGGTCTCAGCCAAACCTCCCTCTCACGCCTTCAAGCCATCCAAAATGCAGCAGCCAGACTCCTAACCAAATCCAGCAGACGAGCTCACATCACTCCAGTTTTACAGTCCCTCCACTGGCTCCCGGTAGAATTTAGAATACAGTTTAAAGTTTTAGTCCTGACCTATAGAGCTCTTAACAACCAGGCTCCAAGCTACCTATCTGAGCTTTTATCCCCACACAACACCTCTCGGAACCTTAGATCCACATCTGAAAACCTCCTGGCTGTTCCTCGAACCAGACTGAAAACCAAAGGGGACAGGGCCTTTCAGACTATTGCACCCAGACTTTGGAACAGTCTACCTTCAAATCTCTGTCTCTCTAACACTGTAGAGGTCTTTAAAAATCATCTAAAAACTCACCTTTTCATCCAGGCATTCCCTCCCTAAATGTTTCAAAAAGATGGCTTTGTTCGGGTTCACACCTTCACTTTGTTTATACTCATGATTTTATTTTCTATTTTATCACTGCTATTGTTTTTCTGATGTTTTTATTGGTTAGCGGTATTTGCCCTGATCTTTATCATGTTGTACAGCGCTTTGTGAGTTATATCTGTGAAAGGCGCTATAGAAATAAAATTTTACTTACTTACTTACTTACTATCCACAGTATGTGGTGCTTGAAATAGTAAATGTTAGAATCTGAACATAAACAAGTAATTAAAAAAGTAAGAAAGGGGGAAATAGCTCAGTGGAGGAAAACTGTTGATCAATAAAAAAATACAACTATTGAGACATTATTAACTACTACTAATATTAATGTAATTACTAAGTATATATAGCAGAAATAAAGTAACTTCATCGATATATGAATACACAAATAAGTACATTTAAACATCCTTAAAGCTTGTTGCTTTAAAAAGTCCATCATAGCCATCCTTTATAGTTGGCAGCAGTAAAAGTTAAACTGGTATTACCACTAACTTTATGTTGTAGTGCTTCACAAAGACTGGCTCTTTGGTGAAAGCATCCCTTGCCTGAATAGTTTCATTATTGAATCATAATGATGAAACAGTTCTTCATGCCGGTGCCTCATCACCAGTCGGAGACCATTTGTGTCGAACCTTATTTGACCTTTATGTTCTGCAACTCTATTCAAGATCATTTTCATCTTGTTATGAAAGGTTTTTCACTTTTTCTTGTCTTCTCTCCTTAAAACCATTTTCTGTTGAATTCTACTTTTATTCCAAACCTCTGTTTGAATTGAATAAAGTTTTTTACTCATGATTTCCTGCTGTCTGCAGCTATACTTGGTACTAAATCAAGCTCATTCCCTGGGTGTGCAGCACACCACCAGGGCTGCCCCTGATCTTCTTTATGGCCCATGAATCAGAGATTTGATGTGATTTATTTGAATGGAACAGTGCATATTACTGAATGTACACTGATGGGTTACGGAGAAAAGGGGGAGCTAGTTGCAGCTCTACGGGTAAGCCTGGTGAAGTTCCTGCCATAAAATAAATTCTTTAAAAAAAACAGGGTTCTATTCTAATTTCCATCCATAGTCCCATGATGAGGTAGTTTGCTTTAGGTACCTGCAGTCTTGTTTCCATATTCTGATCCTAATCCAGAGGAGTTCAAGTGTTTAATGATCAGAATCAGAAAAACTATTTATCCCCGAGGGGCAATTAAAAAAAATAACAGCAGAGCAGCATGACGTTGGACATACGAACATTGAATAAATAGGCAATAAGAAAGTAATAAAGCAGCAAGAAGATGGATAAAAACAGTAAAATGTGCAAAAATCACTGAGTAAGTGAATAAAGTGACTAAAGTGTCTGTATAAAAGTTAAATATATGAAGAGCCCAAGGAGAGGGTTTATCGGGGGGGGGGGGGGGGGGTCTTATCTTATCTGCTGGAGTTAAAGAGCAGAATGGCTTTGGGGACAAAGGCGGCTCTCCTCCTCTCAGTCTTGCAGGAAATGCAGCGGAGGCGTCGCCCAGAGGGGAGCCATTGAAATGCGGGGTGAAGACTGTGAGAGGGGTTGTGGAGGATTTTGGCTGCCTGTCTCAGGGCTTGTTGCTACCTGAGCAAGAGTTCTGACAGGCAGGCCAACGATTTTGGAACACACTGATGCAGCGTGCTGTAGCCTGTTCCTGTTCTGGAGGCTAAGGGAGTAGAACCAGCAAGTGATGGAGAAGGTCATGATGCTTCCCAGGAAGGCACAGTAAAAGGTCATCATGACTGAGGAGCTGACTCCAAAGGAGTTGAGCTTCCTAAGGAGATATAGCCGTTGGTGGCACTTCCTGAGAATCTCCTCTGTGTTAGCAGAGAGT